AGGTGTTTGGGACAAAATTTGGTGACAGATTTCACTCGGTCTAAGGAAAATGGTTGATAAAAATCCACACAGCACACTTTAGTCTAGATATTTTCCTTTCAGGACAAGGTAAGCAGAAATATTACTGTCTTTTTAATTTTTTTTTGGCTTGGACACTTTCGGTGCACACTTCAAGAAACACAAAACTTACATCCCCACTTGCGGTGGTTTTAACAGATATAAAACGACATTTGTTGAACACATACCTTTGTGACGGAGTCATTCACGTTCATGGCCGGGACTGTCAGTTTGCCTGACTTGGAGAGCTGGTACAATCTGGGGAGGGGAGTGACAAACAACAAGGTTACAGGCTTACCATGCCAAGTCTTCACATGGGTCTTCATGAGTCACTTATTAAAGTACATGCAACAATTAGTTATTCTTTATTCCCTTGTGACCTTCACAAGAAAGGTGTCAAAAATATCAAGGCGACACAATATCTTAACATTCAAAATAGCCACTCCCTGTTTAAACCAGTAGTACATGTACCTCAAGGTGACCCAATGAGCCTGACATTATCCTGGCGTTTGGGATTAACAATGTGGAGCATGACTACTGAATACTGATGGATCGACTGCTAATCCCCTATATATTTACAGTCCTGCCAAGGCAGCCGAGAAGATTATATGTTATATAAGGGATAATACAATGTACCTCTGCCTTTGAATCTGGAGACAACTAATTAATCAACCATTGCTTGAGCTAGAAGCCTCTCTTCAGAAAGAGACTGAGAATACTAGAGAAGTAACAATTGCAAAGCAAATGCATAATGTTTACCTTCGGACATGGTCTACTCTGTTAATTCTTATTCAAACACATTCACATATACATGTACTACTAGTATATGGAGACCATGAAATTGCAGAGCAGACCATGAAATTGCAATATTATGTAACCCAACACCAGTCACTATGGTCATGTCATTGGTCGAGTCATAGGTCACTTTTTAGAGAAGAAGAAGAAGAAGAAACTGAGTAAAAATAATATGTTTTCCTTCGCTAAACATAATAAGTATTGTCTATGAGAACTGAGTATACCCCATGTGTGTCCTGACCTGTGCACACCGGTGACGCTCTCCTCCACAATGCCCTTGATCATGCCGAACATGTGAGGGTGCTTCTTGAACATGACGTGGGTCAGATCTCCACCGTCATCCAGGATCTAAACACACAACACACAGGGTTTTTTTACAATGTGAACAAGAATTCAGAGATCTCAGACCTCCAAAAAATATTTAGATCTTGTGTGATGGTGACTGTGTCCTCTTTACCATGGTGTCATGTGTCATGTGTCATGTGAGGGGAACAACACAGGCTGTCAGCTGTCAAGGAGGTCATGTAATGAAAAAAAAAACACCTGTGAAAACAGCCGGTGCTACCAGATATAGATGTGATTAATGACCTTTTCCCTCTGGGGCAGACTGAACCCAACCATATCCATTACAATCTGACCTAAGGGCCATAAGGAAACACAGACACACACACAGACACACACACAGACATACCAAAAACAAAATGGGAAAACATTCCTGGCTGGCTAGCTACAACACTGGATGACAAAAAAAAAAGAAGCCTGGCTGGAACACTGATATGGCACTTAAGAAATCCCCAGGGTTCATCTGACAGGATACATAGTTTGACTGACCATGTTTGGCTGCCAGCCCTCATTGCTGATGCTCTTCTCTATACACCACCAGAAGTCATCCTCTGTCTCCCCCCTCCAGGCAAAGATGGGATATCCTATAGGCACAAGAAACAAGAAATTTCAGATTCCAAACGTTCAATCAATTCAAAATTTCTGACAATACAGATCATACAAACAAATCGCCATATCAGATTTTAATGTCAGCACAGTTTTGGTACAAATATTTAAGGGGTTTATTGACAAAACCTTGAAAAACAAACCTGCTTCAGCCAGTGCCGCGGCCACCTCGTTCTGTGTGGAGTAGATGTTACAGGCACACCATCGCACACTGGCACCGCAGGCCACCAGGGTCTCTATTAGTACCTGCAAATTACATCAAGTACCCCAAATAAATATATTAGTATATGTACTTTACAAATTACAGCAAGTAACAAGAGTCACTATTAACACCTGCAAATAATATTAAGTACCCAGGGTCTCTATTAGAACATGTAACTGCAAATTACAGCAAATACATGTACCAGGGGTCTCTATTTTACTTAGTACATGTACCTGCAAATTACATCAAGTACCCAGGGTCTCCATTAGTACCTGTAAATTTCATTAAGTATGGGTCTAAATGGGTCTAAATTTAGTACATGCACCTTCAAATTACATCAAGTACCAAGGGTCACAATTAGTACCTGTACCAGCAAATTACATCAAGTACCAAAAGTTGCTATTACCAGTAGTACATGATTGTACCTGCAAATTACAGCAAGTACCAAGGATCTCTATTACTATTAGAGCATGTACCTGCAAATTACAGCAAGTAGATGTACAAAGGGTCTTTACAATGTATTAGTACATCTACCTGCCAATTACAGGAAGTACCAAGGGTCTCTATTGTATTGGCACATTTACCTGCAAATTACATCAAGTACCAAGGGTCTCACATGTACCTACTAATTACAGCAAGTACCCAGGGTCTCTACTGCAAATCACATCAAGTAGCACATAAGTACCTGCAACTGTCTTGGGGCCCTGATATGAACATTTTGGAGTTGATTCATGAATCTGAATTTTTTTTTTTCATTTCTGCAAATCAGAAGAAACTGTGAGAACCAATTGATGAAATTGGAGTGGCGTTAGGCTATGCAGAAGTGTGAGGAAGTGTTATTGGCTTACAGCAGCTTGTGCAGTGAGATGTGTGCAGCCGGCAATCTTGGCTCCCTGGAGAGGCTTGTCTCCTGAAGCTCGCTTCCGAAGGGCCATCAGACCTGGCATCTCTACAGGGAGGACATCAACAGAAGGAAAACCACTCAACAACAAAAAGAACTTCATTGCACGACAACTGCACTTGATACAATGTATGGCAAAAACTATTGAACACACAATCATGTTGTACAGAAAAAATATTTGGCAAAAACATTGAACATACATGTCCATATAGTAGAGAAAAAATATTTGGCAAAAACTACTGAACATACATGTAGTACAGAAAAACTATACATGATGTAGCATAAACAAAAAGGGCTCGCATACAATGTAAGTTTTTCATATAGACTACAATCAAGTGAGGCTAATCATGTGTTTCGGTATTTCTTCTAATAACAATGCAGTCTTTTATGTATTTAATTTTTGTAATGTGGGAGTTACTGCGGCATCAAGAGATGTATGACATATTCAAATCTGTCTGTAGCATCGAGTCTCTTGAAAACTGTTGTACTTGATTTAAGAAGTCTGAATAGCTTATTACGTAAAACAGCATAATTATCTAGAGCGCTCCATGACAAGGGCAATTCATATTCGATTCTGCGTGGGAAGGGAAGCTACAGTAATCAAGAAACGTACAGTAGTATCTCCATACCCACTAGGTTACTATAACGATTCGTACCTTGTTCAGCAATCTCGATCTCTCTGCGCCCAAAGGCAGCCTGTCTGATGTTCTTGACACAAAAGTCAGAAAACCCTTTGGCGTTGGTCTGAAAGGATAAAAAGGCTCTCTTTTTAATACATGTATCGTCTGTTGGAAAGCTGCTAGATGTTTGGGGAGCTTTTTTCTTGCAATAGATGAGATATGATGCGTAAACTTGAAACTGAAAATGGTCTCAAAAAGGCCTGCATGATGTTGTCTGTTTTAAATCTAAAAAGGGATAAAAAAAGCTCCCAAATTGTGAGACAGGCTATATTTCAGACTGTTCCACAATATTTATCATCATTTGGAAGATATTTGACTGTAGCTGTTTGTAACAGTGAACAGCTTAACTGTATGTTAATTTTGTATGATAAATACAGTGTTCTAGCCACTTTCCGTCTTTCAAATTTGCCGAACATGACGGACAAGAATTTTGCCCAACTGTCATCTTTGACATGTAAACTAAATATGTGGAAAGAGATGTCGGAACCCCACAGCAAACATACGAACAGCCCTCCCTCTATAGAACAGAAGCTCACACTGTGACACTTGTGAGAAAAGCTCACAACTCACATGAACAGTCAACAAGAAAACCAGAAGAAAAGAGTATATGTATAATCACAGCACAATAACATAAACCACAGTCAAGGATGGTCACCACGAAAAGGACTGCAGTCTCTAGCTAACCTGTCTGTTAGCCCTTCCTTTATTTCGGGAAGCACCATTGGTGTTTGCCTGTGCCGATGTGGCATCCTCGAAATGACACAAAAACAGCACAAGTTACGCTGGCTACTGAAGCACTGAATAACAATTGATTTTGTTGTTACCTAAGCCAAGAAGGTTATGTTTTCGGTAGTATTTGTGTGTGTTTGTGTGTGTATGTTCATGTATGTGAACATGCCATATGTGAACACAATAACTTGAGAAAGCTTAATTGAACTGTCTTGATATTTGGTAGGTGGGTAGGTCTTGATGATATTTTTAAATGATAATATTTTGGGTCCCCTGGCAGCTTGTTATGGTACTGCAGGAGAATTTTCGGTTTTGCTACATCTTGATCTGGACATGCTACCTTGAACTGTTTTAAAATTACACAAACCTAAGATATTTAATTTTAGGAATAAGCTTCAGGTGTCTTTTCAACAATCTCACTTTTAGAAAATCAAAGCCTCTGTGCGTCGATGAAGGTTAGACATCCAGATAATGAGGTCCTGACAGGATATGAATAATTTCAAGGTAAAACACACAGACTGAACAGATTGCAACGACATCTATGCATATCAATTAAGGTCGGGTACCGGTCCAGCTGGACTGTGTCTGACTGGGAATAACATCCAAGTTGAAGAACCGAGTAAAAAAACCTCAACTGATTCTTTCTTAAGGTAATTTTTTTTAAAAGGTAAAAAAAAATTTAAATACCCTGAGTCAAACGAGATTACCAGTAGCCTACATGTAAATTGACATGTGCTCAAAATTGAAAATACATTGTTGTACTTATAGTATTTAACACTCTGATATATATATATATATGTATATATAATTTGAACATAATTTGTAGCAATCACAGAGACCTGTACTTAATAATGATTGTACAGTGTACCTGTTTTGCGCTTCAAAATATGAATACAGTACTACTGTTACTATAGTATAATAAAGGCCAAGGTTGTCCTTAATATCCTCTAGCTAGACCTGGATCTGACCAAGCTGAACCGGTACCCACTCCTGATATCAAAATCAGTAGTCTGAAGATTTCAATTCATAAAGTATTTGTGGGTAACATAAATGTTACAGTGCATGTACAAGTTGAACATAGCTTTTTTTGTGCAAGTATTGTATATCATGCTGCTGATGGTTAAATTAATGCCAAGTGACATTAATGTGTGTATCAAAGCTATCAGTAACTGTTGTCTAAAATTCAATTATACACATTCTCAAATAAAAGTATTTGTGGGTGACATTATGTTGCAGTGCAAGGTACAATATAGCTTCTTTGCGCAAGTATAATTTATTATTGTATGTCATGTATATCATGCTCCTGACTACTAAGGTAATGGCAAGTGACATCAATATGTGTACATGTACATGTAACTATCACTAATACCCAAGCTATCAGTAGTCTAAAATTAAAGTATTTGTGGGTAACATATACATGTATGTTACAGTGCAAGGTACAACACAGTGTTTATGTGCAGGCAAGTACATGTATAATTGTTACATGACACATCATGTATACTACAAAGGTAAAGGTAAAGGCAAGTAGCATTAGATATAACCTCACCTGGTGCTTTTCCCTGGGCGAGACGTCATCTTCCTCGGATGAGCTCCCGGAATACGACGCTGTAAAAGAAACGGCAGACGGTGAGCCCGAACCCCGCCGCACGCTGCCCTTTCTCCGCTTCGATTTACGGAATTTCTCCATCCCTCTGTTGTTCGCTGCTCTGCTTTTGGGAGAAGTCAAACACTGTGCTGACGAACAGTCAGTTTGCCTCAAATGAAATACGTGAGGAGCATTCAATTCAAAATGAGTCTGGGAGGGGCTCAGCGAATATTAACCAACCTTGCAGGTAGGTTTATGACGCCCACTCTAGATCTGGGCTTAACCAAACCTGCGTCTGACAACTTAGATAGAATATGAATAACTCCACGGGAAATGCAATATTTCTCTCCCTAATTCAGCCATCCGTGGAGGATAAATTATGGGGAAGGCAATTCTAGCTGCAATCTCTGTTGTTGTAAAACAAAGGACATTATTATTAAAAGTGGGCCTCCTCGTAGGTGTTTTCATTATTACATGGTTTGGCCTTTAGTGTCGCCATCAAAAGAATGTTAAAGAACAGTTTCTTGTGCACTTACTTTTTGAATAAATTTTCAGTTTCTTAATTATTTCTGTTTTCAGCTACTTATATACATATTCATATCCGTATATCATTATAGGCAAGCAGGGCTGAAAAGTCACACCTGCATATTTAGGTTAGTGCAGGTAAAATTGCAGCTGTGCAGGTATTTCTGATGCCTACCTGCACCTGTGCATGTACTTGCTTTATATATTCATGTAGGTGTATGTGGATTTGCTGTTCTGACTGACCACCTATAATACAATGTATATAAAAGAAATAACGACAATACTTTTCTGAATACTTTTCAGTTTTTAGTTTGATCCATATACTTCCTAAATTCTGAGCACTAACTAGTGGTGCAAGTAAAATTTGGTTGGTACAGAACTGATTAATTTTCACTTTTCAGTGCACCAGTGCAGAAAAAAAGTATTTCGAGCCCTGGCATGTCATTGCTCATAATGTGGAGCTTTTAATGCCATAACAAACTGTGTCAAGGACTGACTGTCCTTCAACACATACAGTTTGTCCTTTCACTCCTTTACGTGTATGATTCAATCACAATCAATCAAAGTGTCATCAAAACCAGCATCTGAAATTGCAGGGTGGTGGGTTGGTAATCCAGGGTTAAAAATACCCACTCTTGCATGCTTGCTGCACAAATCATGTTTTCTGTGCCAGGCTTAGGCCATGTTGAGTTGATTATATGGATGACATCCTCTGGGAACCCCAAAACTGATGCGAGCGTGCGAATAAAAAAAAAGTTTGGCAAAATAAAAAAGTTGCCGTCAACACGAAATCTACGGTTCTGAAATAAACTATGTCCTGGCTAAGTATTTCTTATTCACTTCATACATTGTAGGTGGTGACACTGACAGTCAATACAGCTAATAAAAATCCACATACATGTACATGTACATTTGTTTGTAAACCCAGTACATGGACCAGTGCAGGTTAGGTGCAGGTAGCCATCAGAAATACCTGCACAGCTCCAATTTTACCTGCACTAACCTGCATATACCCAGTACATGGACCAGTGCAGGTTAGGTGCAGGTAGACATCAGAAATACCTGCACAGCTCCAATTTTACCTGCACTAACCTGCATATACCCAGTACATGGACCTGTGCAGGTTAGGTGCAGGTAGACATCAGAAATACCTGCACAGCTCCAATTTTAACTGCACTGCATATGCAAGTGTGCTAGTATACATACTACATGTATTTTCAGCCCTGTACATTAATATCCCAGGCATGATGACAGCTGAAGTAAGTGTAAATCAACACACTCCACCATATTCAGAACCACTTTTCCTGTATGGACTTATTAGGACCATCCCATACTTGGGGAGGATTGAACTTAATGATTAAACCAGTACCCAAACATGTTTGCTAGGAATTCAAAACAAAACATGACAGACACACTGATATAAATAAACTACAGTTACTAATTGTGCTCACAAGTACATACAAAATGTACATGTACCTACACTATATAGATTATAGATCTCTTGTATATTTCTTACACGTTTCAATTGCGTCTGAATGCCTTATATGATGTAAGATGTGTAATACGCGGTTAATACTCTGCACAAATCATCTGCAATTATTGAGTGACTATTTTTAACATGTAACCACGCGCGATTACATCCACACGTCTTAAATGAGATGAACGTGATACAAAGTCATGATTTTTGCATACATTTTGATCGAAAAATGCACAGATTTTGCACTAACGGTATTTCTGATTGCAATTTGCACCCAGGTAGATGGGAAGTTCTTTGAGATCTGTCCCGTAGTACTTGTAAGTTGTAATGATATACCAGACAAGTGGCTTATTATTTTAAAAATCAATGCAGAAAAGTTTTAAATTCTAGCGCAGTAATACAATTATGGTGTCATTCTACTATTTTTAGCCCAGGGTGTCTTAATTTTGGGGGGTAAAATTGCCTGTTAACAACAGGTAATCAATATTAAACTATTTCAGCATTTGAACACCATACTTAGCTGTGTGTAGTACTGTAGTTCACTTTATGTTCGCAGTAGCAAAATTTCACGGTCTGAGAAAAATGGGCATGTTCACGGAACTATATGTTCACGGTGGCGATAGGTGCAGAAAAAAGAAAGTCCACGCAAATTATTTGTTAACTGTAATGTTCAATGTACAGAGGTGACAGTGAAAACAGTGAAAAAAAATCAGGAATTACAGTATATTGGCAATGTTACCGCTACTAGTAGTAGTGTCCGTACCAGTGTACATTTTAGTAAATACCCCGGACCTTACCTGAACTGTAGCTGTCTGTTGACGACTGCGACACCGATCTGCGCCCCCGCGACGACCGTTTGGGCGGCGTCTTCCCGCGGCGCTCGTCCATGAAGCTGATTTGCTGGCGGGTGTAGAAGGAGGAGGGGGAGAAAGAAAACAGAGGGTAAGAACCGCGGCTCAATCTCTCGCCCAGACTCATCTGTCGCTTACGCGGGCGCGACTTGCGCTTCGGGGACGCCACTTTTTCCGCGAAGGCCATCGTTCAAGTTATACAACACAGATTATCTTGTCAATCTCCTTCCGTATCGATCTAGCAGTAATGCAGGGTGGCTCAATGGGGATTCTTTAAGCGCGCTAATGAGGGCCCTATTGCCAAGAGCTGCGGGCAGATCGTCGCTAGATCTGTTTCCCAGCACCTGGAATGCGCTCCCTGTATGTGTTCATATGGCAATTAGCCTTTAGAGGATTGCACGCTGCAGAAAAGCAGACTATTCCATATTCCTTTGAAGGATTGGTTCCTGCTTGTCTGGTGGTTTTCTTTAAAGAATGTTTTTCTAAATTCCTTGAGCATAATGCATATTTACCTACATGTACCTCAGCATATGAATTTTAATAAAGACATGTAATTTCAGGTAGGCACAAAAATATTGATGAAGAAATGTGTCTAAAATTGACATTAACTGCTACATTTGTAATTCTTAGCAAGTTTTTGTTTTATACTTGAAGCATTTGAAATAGCCCCAAAATAAGCTACGTGAGGAGACCCTTTATTTTTTGGTACCACCAATAAATAGCTACAAAAAAAAAGGCTACGACACATAAGGAACAACCACTTTTCCATCAGCAGCATTGCCTTTTTGCCTCACAGCTACACGTATCAGTATGCTATTAGATAAAGCTGATTCAACTCTGCATTAAAAGAATAACTAGAAAATTGACTTTGAAAATCCAGTTTCGCTGCCCTGAAATTGCACTTGATGCCTCTTTCTTCTCTATCCGTGTTTAGATTACACTGCTGCCGGTTTCCCTGTCCCAGGGGTGGGCATAGATGACTTTATACATGCCTGTATACATGCCTGTATTGTAACAAGTGCACAGCAAGACATTATATTGCAATATGAGCCACTCCTTTGATCATACAGGCAGCCTTAATAAGACATTCTGCTGGCCTAGGACAGCCTGATTTATATTCATACATATTTGTAATAATTTTTTATGAAAGGGCAAATGCACAATCTACATGTCCAGTGGTTCAAAATACCCATTCTCACTGAGCAAATCATTGTTTTCTGTGCACCTCAGGCATACATACATTGCATATTAACCAAAATCAAGTTGCACATAATTGCTTTAACCTCGAGGAGACAAATTAAAAACAAGTGTCTCCAGTTGATTATATGTTTGAATCAAAATATTATTGCAAATGTGAAATTTTGCCAATTTGGTACCTGGCCTGTATTTGAATGTGTGCTATTCTGAGCATCTAGAGCAGCACCCCCCCCCCCACAACCCTAACCCTAAGATAATGTTATCATAATGACAGATATGCATGATTGTACACTGTATGTCTGCACCATATACAGGTGTGTCTTGATAAGTGGTTACACTGGTATGGGCATACCACATCTTACAACTTTCCTTATCTCACGCTCTGTTTCAAAATTGAGATTGATTTACATGTAGACCCCCCTAGAAAATGGGTGTAAAGTTCAACTGGTGCTGATTGTTACAGTGTTTGCTTAGGCCAATGCCTACTAGGTAATAAATGCTTGCCCTACATAGGAACAATGGACTACATAGTTGTTAAAAACCTGCAAGATTACACTTTATACTACCACACCTACTGTACAGACATTGTACATATATATACCTAAAACACCACAGAATATTTTCGAGTTGAATTCAACTACATATACTGACAGTTAAACAACCGAGAGACTAGCCCACACGACACTGTTGAGGTATACATTGCAGGAATGTCGCAGTTACAATGTAACCACATTAAATTTCAAGATTTTTTGGTCGTTACCTGCTTCCTTGCAGGTTCTTCTTGCAGGACCGCTGCGGCTGCCTCTGGCCCGTGTGTCGCCTCTATGTACGACAAACGGACGGATTCCCTCCGCAAAACGTTCACATTAACTGGCACGTTATTTTTAGTAAGCTCCATCCTGATCTTTTACGTCAACATTCTCTGTATCTGGTAGAAACGTTCTCCGCTGGAACAGACCCCTGTTCTCTGAAGACACGACCTTCAAGGAATGACCTTCCAAAACAACTTTCTTCATCCAGTCTGGGAAGCAGGGAACTATGGGAAGTCAGGTGATCATACACCTATCAACGTTCTCTGTAGGACCTCTCAAGTAGAAAATTTCTCAGCTAAAACTGCCCCCATTCTCTCAAGACACGACCTTGGAGGAATGACCTTCCAAAATAACTTTCTTCCTCCAGTCTGGGAAGCAGGGAACTATGGGAAGTCAGGTGACCACATACCTATCAGTGCCCAGCTTGCAATCAGTTGGCAAAAGTGTAATGAACTGTTGGATAGCAACGTTTCGTTCTTATCTATACTTGATGACAGATCTTAATGAAGATTTACGATGTTTTCTTCAAGTATGTATTGTTCTGGGCAAAAGCTGTATTCACAGGTGAGTTTGAACATAATAATGTATCTGAAGAAATATCAAGTTCTCATACATGTGTAGAAACCAGCAAAATACAGCAAACTTCCCTGAAACTTCTAGCCCAGAATGGGGCTATCAAGCTGGTCAGCTATAGCTATCATTATCAGGATTTATTTGGAGAGGCACTTTCTATGAACTACAAAAAATGACATCTTTATTTGGTACTGATAAATTACCCTGGTGTTTGAATCGTGCCGCACACACAATGTGTACATGTTACATGTACATGTACATGTACATGTGTGCCCTGAATATAATCCTGTATCAGCTAAGGCAATAAATCAACTTATTATGGGCAATGAGCACAAGGTTGTTAGCTTGTCTGCAATGTAGGTTATACACATGTACGTCCGTATAGATGATAGAAGTGTCATTGAGCAAGGTCACAAAGTGGGGAATGAGGATTACATGATATTGTAATCTTTATCCTTCTGCATTAATAATCTACTACACATGTAGTCTGCAACACTCTTGGGGCAAGGATGACAGAATAGAGCTAAGGGCTACTAAAATGACAAGAAAAATGATACAATATAAATGGACTGGAGGTCTTCTTAAAATCTAATTAGTCTTAACTGCTCAGGTGTATAGTAACAAAAATTGCTGTTTGCTCAAAACAGCCCAACTCGTACATCTAATTGATCGCTAAAGGTATCCTTGTTACCTCCATGAAAAATAAAGGTTTTGATTTTGGCCTCTGTGTGTGTGTGTGATGTGTGTCTGTGTACATGATTTGTTTTAGCATATTTGTGGTCAGCATAACATCAAAAGGCCTTTATGGATTGTGATACTTGGTATGAGGGTAGGTCTTCGAAAGAAAAAGGTCAAGGTGAAATTTGGGCCTCCTGGTGGCTGACCTTGGTACTGAAGCAGAATGATGACATGATTCTCCATAGTTTTAACAGGTCGATAATTCTAGCTAATATGCAGACTGAGTAGTGTCTTCCTCATTCAGTAGCACAGCTAGGTGTTCACTCCCGGGGTCTTCTCTCAGCGCCTGCCGGAACACGTAGAACGCTGCTTCTCCTCGGGTGGGCAGAATGTCCAACAACTTCCTGTTTGTGTCGTTCCGGGTCCTGCAAGAGCAGATGATTTCCTCCATTTCTTGGTCGAGGACCCTGTTCTTCCTCAGAGCTGTTATGACAATGCTGATGTGCAGGTCAGAAACAAAAGCATCACGGTTCAAGGTCAACAGTTCCCTGTGTCTCTCCGACATAGGCATGGGGTGACCGCCTGGGTACAACTTATCCCGATACTGTTGTTCTAGTTCTTTCAAACAATCTTCCAGTTTCCTGTTTTGCTCTTTCAGTTCTTTCGTCTCTTGAACGAGCTGCGCTACTACCTGTTGATGCTTTTCTTCTTGAGCTCGCAGCCTCTCTTCAAGATGATTTTTTTCGTCTTGTAAGAGGAGATTCTTTGCTTTGAGCTGAGATTGTTCATTATCAGGTGGTGCCGTTCTTCTTCGGAACACCGGTTGTTCCTTCTCCTTCTGTTCTGTCTTGCTCTGTGCACATGTGATCAGGTATTCCACAACCTGTTTGTTGTTGTTGTGCCGTGCCATGTCCATTGGAGTCCACTTAGTCTCTGGTGCCTGGACATTGATGTCAGCCCCTGCCTGGATGAGAGTCCACACCGTGCTCTTGTCACCAATTTCTGCAGCTAGATGCAAAGGTGTAAACCCAGTCTTGTTGTGCGCATTCAGACAGTTCTCGTGACATAGGAGGTTCACCATTTTGACCTCAGACTTTCTGGCAACGGCAACATGTAGTGGTGTGTTGCCATTCGCAGCGCTGTCGACTGCAGTTTTGTCTGCTCCTGAATTAACAAGAATTTCGCAGATGGCAAAGTCACCTTCATTCACAGCAGTGTGGAGTGCAGGTGGCTTGTCAAGTCGCTCCTCATTCACGTCTACACCATGTTTACACAACAGGGCGACAATTCCTCGTCTCGTCTGTTTGTCTGCAAAAGTGTCGTGCTTCAGTTCCATGGCTTTCCACAGATCCGACTCTCCCTTCACAGGGATGGCTCCACAGTCCAGGAGTTTTTCCACTAAAGCAACTTTACCGTCACTTATTGCGTGTGAGAGAGGAGAATAGCCCCAAACTTTGCAGTTGACCTTTGCTCCTGCATGTATCAGTCCACCTACCATTTCTGGTGAATTGATTCCACAAGCATACAGCAATGGTGTGACTTCCTTCGTGTCACCATGATCAGATAACTGTACAATGTAGTTCAGGTCTGGCCTGTCCTTTTTAAGAAGCAATGCCTGTAACTTCTTGAGGTCCCGGTTACCTATTGCCTTGATGACTTGCCGAAGCTTCCAGATCAGTTGTTTGTCTTGTGCCAGAGTTATCTCAGTCATCTTCCTGGCCTGTACTACTCCTGATACCAACCGCACAAACAGTTCCAGAAGTGGGAGAAGAACTTAGAGAAGGTTCTATACCTTTACCTTGCCCCTGACAGCTTCAATCTCATGAAAGTGAAACAAGCAAAAAGCTAAACCACACCCTATCCCATTGTTTCAGCAGAGTTTGTGAATCACCTGATGTTTCTAAGTCCAACTATAAATCGTTCATAGGTTATGTCAAGTTTGGGTATGGATCAAACCATGGTACCTACATGTACATGTAGATATATTATGTGTATAAACATAACCGTGTATGCATCATGATAGGCATCATAAGCCATTATCCTGTAATTACCCTGTATCAGTCTAATCAATAAATCATTATCATTTTATAATGGGCAACAGGGGAGAATATGTTAAACTAATATAACCAATGCAAATGAGGATTATATTTGCATAATCAATGAGAATAATCAATTTGTCAGTCATGAAGGTTATTGGCAAAATTGTGACTATGAGATACTGTACAGTAGTGAAACTGGTTACTTTGAGCCGAAACTTCTCCCCATCAGGTAGTGTGGTTTTCCCTCTCACAAGGCCATGGGTAGGTTGTACATGTAGTTGTTTGTCCACCTGTTCCATCCTGCTCTCCAAGAACTCCACAACTCCTTGGAAATCAGCAACGGTTTGTTGGCTGGTGAGTTGTTGCTCGTTATGCCGGTGCTTGTGCCGAGCGATGTCCAGCGGGGTCAGTTTAGTGACCGGTGCCTGGACGTTGACGTCGGCCCCCTCTCTGACAAGGACCCGAACCACCTTCAGGTCACCCTTATCAGCAGCCAGATGTAGAGGTGTGAAGCCGGCCTTGTTGAAAACATTCAACGTGTCCTGATGGCAGAGAAGCTCCACCAACTCTACCAAAGGCTTCTCACGACTGATAGCGATATGTAACGGTGTGTTGCCATTTTTCATGCTGTCTAGCGCAGTTTTGTCTGCTCCCGAATCTACGAGCGTCTCGCAGATGGCAAGGTCGTTTTCGCTTGCCGCGGCGTGCAGTACGGGTGGTTTAGCGTACCTCGGGTCATTCACATCGACACCGGCTTCACACAACAGCGCTACGATGTCCTGTCTGGTCCGCCTGTCCGCGGGAGTGTTGTGCTTCAGTTCCATGGCCCGAGACAGGTCCGACTTTCCGTTCCAGGTGTCCTTACCAACAGGACGGGCTCCACACTGCAGCAGTTTATCCACTAGAGCCAGATTCCCGTCGGTTATCGCATGCGACAGAGGAGAGTATCCCCTAACTGTGATGTTGACCTTCGCCCCGGCGTTTACCAGTGCTCCCACGAGTTCTGGTGAGTTGAGGCCACAGGCAAACAGCAACGGACTGTACACCTTCTTCTCGCCAACTTCAGGTACGTCCACGACCACAAGGTAGTTCAAGTCTGGCCGGTCGTCTTTAAGAAGCAGGGCCTGTAACTCCTGGAGGTCGTGTCGGCGTAAAGCCTTCACGACTTCCTGAAGCTTTTGGACCAGTTGTTTGTCTTGCGCCAGAGGAAGGCTAGACATTTTTACGATCCTTAGCTATTCCAACAGATATTGACAACTTCAAATGGCAAAAGGAAGGCTTGATGTCTCGCTGCCAACTACCTCAATCTTGCGACTGGAAATCTCCAACAATTCACACTTCTCTTGCTGTTTGTGCCCTGTGCACAATTAGCTGGTGTTTCAAAGTCCACATGCCAGGACTTAAAAAGTGATTTGTTTATCAAGGTACACTTTAAGTTTTTACACAGGTGGACTTTAACCATTTATAGGTATCTAATTGATAAACAAAAAGCGTATGGTTTTTGCAGGCTTTTACACATGTTTAAATTGAGAAATGCATTTTCGAGCTCAATTTACATTGTGTAAATGGGAAGTTAATATGTATCTGTACTGTACATGTACGAATCTACTACAATACCTGTAGAGATGGATTTTATAACACTGTTGGTTGTACATTATCTTTTTTAACACCTGCCAAACCCAATGCACACATACGCATGCATACCTCCCAGAAGAGATTTGTTGATAGTCACTGAATACAGATCAGCAAACCATTTTATGTACCTCACAGGTCACTGAATGATCAGTGTGCAAATACTGGAAACTGTTGACGCAAATTGATTCAATACAAATACTGTTTGGCTTTGTCAAACGGTATCCAAGCAACAACCCTGAGACTGTCACGAATAGATAACGTCCCTCACCTTACATATATTGAAAGCAGGTCACTCATATTAATGGTTATTGGGGTTCTCGCTGTTTGAGTGTAGGGACCCCCTATGCTGTGATATGGACCCCCTATGCTGTGGTTTAGCCCCCTACCCTACACTTTCATCCAGTGTAGGGACTAGGGGAAAGTCTTTGTTATCCTTCATAAATCTTTAAGTTAGAAAAATTAAATTTTACTTTAGAATGATGCTATAATTGTTATATAACAGAGGGAAAACATTATAAACTTTTACAAAATTCATCCCTCAATATTAAAGCAGGAAATAGTGTATGTAATAGTATGAGAAGACTGCTTAGATGTTAGAGTTCTGAACTTATTTCAGGGAGAATAGCGGACATCCTACAAAATACCATGTACCCTACACTTTGTATACCACCCTCCATCAAAATGCCGACATGCCGGACAAAAAAGGATTTTACAAGTTCTTATATGCACATCAAGTACATGGCCTAACTGTGGCATAACCCCGTATCAGACCTCTAGATCTAAAAGGGATGTACTGTACTTTGTTCACATGGGGAAGGGCACTGGTGAATAAAGGCTGAACCTGAGACAAAATATGACGGTGAAAGAAAATGGTTCACCAAAAATAGAAGTCATAGACAAGAATGTGACAAAACGTACACATATGAAGAAACTGAAAAAAAGGTCATACTATGATACAAGGTAAGATAAGTCTTTAAGTACACTGAAATGTACAAAGAGAGCACGTAAAGATAAAACAGTGACAGTAACAACATAGAAAAGCATATTGCAATCCAGTGCAAGCATTGCAATGCATATTGCAGTGCAACAATTAGCTTTTATATTCATCTTGTGCAAATGAATAAAGCAGGCACGAACTGTAGCACTTAACTGAAATTCAACAAAGCCATGTGCAAGAGAACTAGCCTCCACCAGACTCACAATGTAGGTTCAAAACAGGACAATTTTGCTAAATAAAAAGATTGGTCAGGGGAGTTTGCAAATTGGCATTTGGCCACACAGTGGTAGAAATTAGCCATCCTGTGGACTGAATTTCCTGGCCAATCATTTCCCTTTTCTTGCTGAATTCTACGTACGTACCCCCGTTGGACAGCTGGTGTAATCTCCAAGCAGATCATACGGTGGCAAGGCAGTATCCATTGGCCAGAGGAGTGTCCATTGGCCACTGGATACTGTCTGGCTAATGGATACTGCCTGGCCAAGTTGATACATCTTTTGCAGCCACCAAAAGATCTGCTTGGAGATAAGGCCTGGTGGAGGCTACAGGAGGGTATTTATAGGGGTTAGCAGGCATTTGTTCAAGCCTATTAAATCCTATTCAATCCACTGAATAGATTTTGAAAACCGAAAGATCTGCTTGGAGATTAGGCCTGGTGGAGGCTACAGGAGGGTATTTGTAGGGGTTAGCAGGCTGGTGGAGGCTACAGGAGGGTATTTATGGGGGTTAGCAGGCATCTGTACTCGTCATCAGGCAGATCATGCAGGTGGACACCTTTCGGCGCGGCGTTACGTCCCGGGACATCCTCCGCTTCCCGCTGGGAGGGGGGACAAAGTCGGGGTCGTCGGGGATGTACGTGGAGGGCGAGCGCGGGCGGCGGCTGGACATGGCGGACTTCACGGGCAGCAGCTCCATTTCCCCTGACATGTCCTGCACGACCACGGTCGGCAGCGGGCGCTTGTCAGCCACCTTGGCCGCGTAGTCTACGTCCTCGTCTATCAGAATGGCTTCGTCCGCGTAAGTCTGGAGTGTAGGCTACGCACACATATACACAGAACACAGCAAAGGGAGGGAGGGAGGGGGGTTAGAGGAATAGTTTGGAATAAAAATGACGCCTAGTGTCATGAAGAAAGAATAGAAAAAGGTATTCAAAAAGTATGCAAGAAAGGAGATTGAAAGTAACATAACAAATACACATAATTGTGAAAAAATCAATTCTTTCATTTGTGAGCTCTAGTTACCTTTGCCAAGAAGGTTATGTTTTCGTGGCCGTGTGTCTGTGTGTCTGTGTGTGTGTGTGTCTGTCAACAGCATAACTCGAGAAAGCTTAGATGGATTATCTTGATATTTGGTAGGTGGGTAGGTCTTGATGAGACCTGGAAATGATTAGATTTTGGACCCCCTAGCGGCTTGTTATGGTACTGCAGCTGAACTTTCGGTTTTGATATCTCATGATCTAGACATGCTGGGGTGACGAAATTTGGATGGTAGGTAGCTCTCATGCTGGGGAAGAAGTGACACGAGTTTGGGCCCCCTAGCGGCTTGCTCAGGAACTGCAGGGCTATTTGTTTGAAAATATTCAAAAGAGGATAACTCAAGAACCGGAGGACGGATCTTCGTGAATTTTGGTATGTAGGTAGCTCAAGTGACGCTTGACATAATTATGTGACAATTGTGCAAATCTGGATCTAATTTACATAATTAATGACAAAATTCTATAAATCAGCTGCATTACATTATAGGACTATTCAAGCTTGTGACATATGTAATTGAGAACGAGAGAAACACAGGCAAATATTGATTATGTAAATTAACACCTAATTTGCATAATTAATGAGAAAATGTTATAATTCCATAATGCTAACTGCCTGGAATTTCATACTTGGGGTATTTGAAAGTTAAGTGAAGGAAAACATCAATAAACATAACTTATTCAAATAAGGACCTCATTTGCATAATTTATGAGGAAATGATAGAATGGCTTTCTTTGCTAAGATAAGGCTGTCTTTTGATGGAGAATATGATCAACTATATAATACAATATTATAAGACAATATTATAATACAAATATAATACAAATGAGGATTTTATTTGCAAAATCAGAAGGAATCATCTTTGTCAGTCATAAAGATTAACATCATTTGGCAGAGGTATGAGATCGTGGAACTCTAGTTTTAATTTTATTTTTAAGTCATTGCATACAGGTAGTATAAGAATATATTAGAAAATGTACACTATTGAATTCAATTACTATACCAAACAGCAAAGGTGTACAAGAAAACATTGGTCTGTTTCTGCTTGCAAACTGCAATATCTTTTACTGAGGGGAAAGATGCCATTATGTAGCAAGTGGCAGGACAGAGTTGGAAGGGATGGTCACCATCTATAATATTTATTTTATGATTATGTGTGAATGGGCAAGAATAAACAGAGCACTTATAATATGAAATCCTATCTCTGCCAAATGTACATGTACCTGTTTATTTGGGTAACAAGTACCTATAGGTCCTTTATCTTGATAACAAAGCATAGTTCATGCCTATTAAATCCACCTGTATTGTGTAAGTAACTAAGTGTCATATTATATAATGGTACAATATAGTGCATCCAACATACAAAGTGTGCTAGCATGTTAAAGAAGATTAGAAGACTGTTACTCAAGCGACTGAATAGATTTTGAAAACTGTCAGACATTTCGAGTAGCATCCACTACATTTCGTAAAAGACTAGTTGAATCTGTAGTTGAACAGGTGTGTGTTTGACTAGTGATTGACATCAAGCGATGGTACTTGTGTAATTTCCTGTTACAATATTGTATACACAGCCAGTCTTCCTTAGATGTAGTGATTGAAATGTGAACAGGGCAATGTCATGTGGGATTGTGAAATTCATTAAGCATGACTCATATAGTTAAATATGTATGCATCTGTGCGTGTTGAAGCGTGTCAGGGCTCGAAATACTTTTTTTCTGCGGACCTGCACTGGTGCGAGTAGCACCAATTTCCTGCACCAGACAAATTTTACCTGTAAAAATTAGAACTTAGGAAGTATAGATTGTACTAAAACAGAAACCACTGCCATTATTTCCTCTACATACTTTATTATATTATAGGTGGTGACAGTCAATATAGCAAATCAAAATCTACATACTACATTGAATTTGTATATACTGTATATTACATTAACAAACCAGGTGACTAGTTTGGGAGAACAAAGCACACCCCGTCATTCTTGCTGCTATCAACTTTACATTTGATTGTAGAGGCTTCACTACATGAGAAGACTGCAAATTTACATATCCTACACGGCAAATGCCAACCAAATAGGATTTCGGACACATTACACAAAGCTGGGTGGACATTCCTTAATACGTTCTAATGTTAGACTCCAGACAGGTTGAGACAAAGTTCACAGGTCTTTGTGCAGTACCAAAGTAAGAGCAACAGTTTGACTGTGTTGCCTGGTGTTGGTCTACGTACAACAAAAGTAACAGGCACAGGTGTCAAGGCAACTGAACTGCAGGGATCGAAATACTTTTTTCTGCATAACTGCACTGGTGCAGGTAACATTGAAAATCACCTGCACCAGACAAATTTTACCTGCACGATTCGGAATTTGGGAAGCACGGATCACAATAAAAATGGTTCATATGTCAACGAGTGTGGGAAGTAGAGACAGAAAGAGAAAGAAACTTAGAAAGTCAAAATCTTCCCCACCAACCTCTGCTTGGAGAGTAAGTCCCAGTTTAGAAATGGGCAAAACCCAGATGAACGAAAATTGCATATGCATGAAAGCGTACAAAAATTGTGTACATCAAATCTTCCCTGTGTGTAAAACAGTCTGTTTGACTTACGCAATTCACCCTGTCGGTGTGTAAAAAGTAAGGAATGTACGCTAGTATGCGTACAGAATTTTCGTATGTCAGCCAAGGTTTTCCCCATGTGTAAATTGAGCCTAAGCTTAGACTAGAGGACCCTGAACCAGGAAGGACATGTTAGCACAAACTTAAGCTAACTAATTAGATACCTGTCATTCAGGAAATTAGCATTGGCATTATCATCCTTAATTTAACTGCACACGAAAACTGTGTACGTCAAATTTTCACAGCACGTCCATTGCCTACTTCGAAGTACATTCTACACTCACGTGCGTACGCAGTTTTCGCACCGTCATCCAAAGTACTCTCCAAGCAGATGTTGGTGGGGGAAAATTATGACCTTTCTATTATATGCCTCGTTTTTCTGTTGCTACTCCCACCATGACAGATAAACAGGGCATATAATACAAAACACAATGTTCCCCTACAAACCTCTGCATGGAGAGTACATCTTGTACTAGTACTAGTAGTAGGCTCTGTCCCAGGGCTTTAGCCAGCGCCCGTTTTACCGTCAATTGACGGTAATTTGTCCCGTCTGACGGTAAAAATTTTAGTCCTTACCGTCAACATTGACGGTCAAAAATCGTGGGTAAAGACATGAAAAAAATCTAGCGAATTTGAATGAGCCACGGCGCGGCGTCTTTTCCAAACGCACGGCGGCGGGAAACCTGATTTCAAGGACCGTGCCGACGTCTGTTGACTTGGCTCTATTGTTCAATGTTGCTGTCTGTTAAAACAACATGTGCTAACGGCCACATAAGAATAAAATAAAACAATGGCTCGACTCAGACACACGCTGCTAACTGTACATGACAATACGATAAATAAACATGTGACAACGAACAAAGAAATATCAAACGTTTTTGAATAATATACTGTACTTGAATAATCATACTATCGCAAGAAAACGGAGATTGATCCACACAATGTGGCCTTATTTAATCTAAAACTTCGTCAGACCTCCTTCGTGCGAAGACTTGAGCGGCAGCATTAAGATTTCTGGAGGATCGCTGACACGCGAGTTTTTGCCGGCCACGTAACTCCCTCCGCGGCAAAATCCTCTATGCCGTAGCGAAATCACGTCTCAGCGCTTCCCCAAGTCAACTTCATGGCCGCTAAAGTCCGCAAAGGAGTTGTAACTTCCTCATTTCGGTAGAGAAGCGAAGCTGACAAGTAAAATCATGTACATGTCGGCCATTTTGTTTGCTACCCGAAGTCTTCCGGACGCTCTAAATAAGGAAATCGTCGGAGATCTGAGCCACATCGCCCGCTGTCGGTCAGCGCTCGGGCCCGGCTCGGTGGAAATCGGAGGCTGTGACGTCATGAGTAGGTTCATTTGCATGGCCGCGGCTTGAATCGCGGCGGGATTTGAGCGGATCAAAACAAAGGGCATAGCGGATTGTTCATTGCGTGTTGTCTCCTTGTGAGAACTGTAGATTTTTTTTTCATTCTGCAAAATTGCAGGTTGTGTATTTTTTTTTTATTCTGCAATCTTGACGGGTATTTAGAACACCGAATGCATTAAGTGTGCGGGAGGGCGTGATGTCGATCACCGGATCGCGAAAGACATTCTTTAAAAGTAATCATTGACGGAATTTTTTTTCGCGTTGACGGTATTTTTTTTTTCGCGAATTGGGTTGACCTGGGGTTGACGGTAAAAAAATTCGAGCTGGCTAAAGCCCTGCTCTGTCCTGAGGTGCAGCCAAAAATCACAAATCCAAGATGTTTCCGAAAAGTTTCATCATGTTCGTAGAACAGAGGATGTAGGAAGTGACTTTGAACTTTCTTTTGTCACATTACCAGGAAGACACATTGTCATGACATGACCTTGCTTACAACTTGTTGGTAGAACAAAGGATGTAGAAAGTTACTAGGAACTTTAATTGTCACATTTATACATGTATAATACCAGGAAGACACGTGACCTTGCTGAAATGTTTCTATCTATCATCTGAGGAAGGTGTACGTGTCTGATAGACACCAAAACATAAGCAAGGCACATGTAAGTCTTCCTGGTAATGTGACAAAAGAAACTTCCTACATCCTTTCCAAAATGTTTCAGGAAGTAACGTTACAACTGGAGAAAAAGGCAGCACCATATTGACTATGTTTAGGGACCGATCGCTGCCTTATGTAGTTATGTTCTTTATGAATGTTCAGCAAAATATTTTCCATGGTTGTATAACACTAGTGTAGACAACACTGCTCGGAATGCAGCACAGTGAAAGTATTTTCAGCCCGGGGGGGGGACTAGTAATTAGGGCAATAAAAATAACCCTAGGTAAAATTCACTAACCCTAAACCTGATGTTAGCACATAGATATGCATTTTATAAATGGTAAAACAAGTTATTAATAACCATGTGGCAATGAATGTATTGTTTGGTATTTCACCATCACAGAAGATACAATGAATAGAATCTGTACATAATGTTGCGCAATGAATAACCCTAGGTAAAATTCACTAACCCTAAATCTGATGCTAGCACAATGATTTGCATTTTTTAAATGGTAAAACAAGTTATGTTGCAATGAATGTATTGTTTGGTATTTTACCATCACACAAGATATATAAATTATCTGTACATTATGTTGTTGTAAAGCGAGCATAACGTCTACACGCTTTATTTCATGTGTACATTTTATTTCATAGTGCCCGGTTGTGAATGAAAATGTACGCCCAGCTGAGAAAGGTCACATAAAGTACCACATAAAACATCCATCTCGCTCGCTCTTGTAAAACGTCATGTCATGATCGGACGATGGCCATGCTACATACAAAGGGAGGGCGCGATGAATGGTGGCATATGGGAGCTCCATGCCGCGTGGTACCCTGCACCGTGTTTGGCAAAAATCCCCGAACGCACGAAAATAACTATAGCCTAACGCGACACACATACATTTGAAGGTTAAAAGTACAAGCCGTGTACCGGTAGATGGTCGATCAGTTTGAATAAGTGGCACAGAACGGAGGACACGTCTTTATATGGTGTGCCGTCACAGCTGGGGGACACACAAAAGCATGGTGGGGAGCGAGAGAGTCCCTCTCGACAAAAACTCAAACATGTCGGCTGCAAAAATTCAGACCCAACTTTACAAGCGGCGCTCGCCTGACTCGGGTAAAGGTGACCCCTACCTTCTATCTTTCCGTGGCGCTCACCGGGCGATCGCAGGCCGGCAGGAGAGAAACGTGAACGTTCCCTGGTTCGTAAGAAGTGCAAATGAGGGTGAGGATGTCTTACCCGATTGGCCGTGCCCGGGTGAAGAGGCTTCCCGTGTGAGAGGCTGGCTCTCGGGCTCAGCTGACCGTCCTCTGCTTCCGCCGCCGCCATCTTGGCATGCAAATGACGTCATCACGGGACCGGGGGCTCGCACGCTAGGGTGACATCTCGTGCGCAGGGCACCGTGGTTGTCAAACATTTACTAAAGAGATTTCGGTTGAATACTTCAGGTTTCTTGGATAGAGCGTTTGAATTTGACATCAATTTAAACAAAGAAAATCGATTGGATACAGTTATTAACCGGTGCTACTGGTATTTGCGTCCCTAAATTTATAATATGAAGTTGGGTATCGCACACAGTCAATTATATGAAACAGGTGACTTTTTTGTAATTACAAGAAGGTAGCGTTATACATCTAACGCGAATAATTCGTTATGTTGAACGATTTGTAATAATTTCGCTGTTGATTTAACAAATAGCTCAGAAATAGAAAGTGACAACAGAATAATAAAGAAGGAGCGATTTAATAGGTCCAACTAGTAAAAGTAAACGAAGAGCAAGATAACGATGAAATACATGGAGTGGAAAATAATATGCTTCACATTTAGGCGAATAGGCTATAATTATTATTATTATAAACTGATCAAAACAAATCTCACAACCCGTTTGTTTGAACCATTCTCAGTTATTCACGAGAAGGTTCAAATCGACCTGCAGGTCACTTTTCCTTGAGGTGATGAGGGGAGAGATAAGGTCAGACAAAGTGTATAAGAACGATAATTTTGATTACATCATTCAAAGTCCCAATAAATCCATATACAAACATTTCTACACATACATGGTATGAAATACATAGGATTACGAGTGAGAGTCGTTACATATATATGGTTCGTGTCACGGCGTTCGTTTTGGTCATTTATGATTTCTCTTTTGGATGCCAGTGTTAGGGCCATGCGTGTTTCTGTTGGTAGACTGTTCCTAGCCTCCCTGCTAGCCTCCATAGCATGCCAAAAACTGGGAGTTTTTGGGGTCTTCAGGGTCTTTGGGAGCTTTTATGTGCTATTTTCTGATTGCATATAGACAACATAGCCGGCCTGGTTGAATTACCCCCGTTTTTGACTAATCAGAAAATAGCCGAAGACCACCAAACCCCTGCTACGGAGGCTGGACTGTTCCAGACAAAATACATATTCGCACAACAGCCATGCCTTCTTGCTATCTGTTTACCGCATATCAGGTTACTCGCCGGAGGCGGATCACTGATTGTGTGTTGGCGTTCGTGACGTCAATGGCAAACGATATCTCAGGTCATGTTGGGTGATGGTCGTGACACGCGTTATCGATCGATCACTGTGGAACAGTACGTCATCTGGGTGCCGCGGATTTCTCTCGTGAAATTATGTTTACGTTCGAAGAAGGAAACATATAATTGTTTTTTGCTCCAGACTGTTTCTTTTCCTTCAGCCTTCTTCTTTTTTCTTGGTCTTCCGAAAGGAGGTTCCTTGGTTAACCTATTCTCTTCTCCAAAACATATCAACCATATCAAGGGTCAATGACCTTAACCAGACGGCTGTCACCATGGTAACTTGTGCCGAAGCAGACATCCTGTGGTGTTGGTGTACACTATCGTATCAGGACGAAGGTCGAGGGGCTGGTCACCATATAGAATAATATACTATATAATAAACACAGCAGTAGACCACCTCAAGGTAAGCATTATGAATTTGCTTTGCAACTGTTACCTTTCTAGTTTACTCTTTATCTGTGAATGCTTATAATTATCAGTCAGAATCATTGTTATCCTTTCCCTACATACAATGTTCTAATAGAGGGACTTTGTAGGCGTTCTTTTTTATTATTTGCTATATAGCTATGACCCTGCCCCTTCGGCTAAAAATCAAAATTTCCTCAGTATCATGGATTGCTCTGCAATTATCATTGAGTGAAAAAAGACGCAAGAATCTCAAAAAAGATTATGATTTTTTTTAGATCTGCCTTTATGTTCATTTATTTACAAACCAAAATTCTAACTCTCCGTACTTCCATAGAATAAGCAGCTTGTTATGGGCATTTACAAAGTTTTTTTTTTTTTGACAAACAAAATTGTTTAACTGGCTAACACCTGGCTTTCTATATTCCACAAGTTTGAATTGTATGTTACAAAATGAAATTGACTTCAAGTAAGCATAATTTGTCAATGAAGAAATCAGATTTAATTACATAATTCCATCGACTACTAATCAACAACGTACAAATAAATAAATTTCTTTAAAATCGCAGATAACTTAATCGTAATTCTCTTATAACTTACAATGTATATGCATCGACAAGCAATTGCAAGGACAACACACAATGTAGTCCCTGCACATCACACTATAAGGCAATAAAGAATCTACCCACAAAAATCCTTGAGTTAAGATTTATCAAAACAGGTATTGGCTCCTTAAGGTGTGCGAGGGAAAATTATTCTCGGTCCCTTTCTGTGCTTGTGATGTTTCTTCTCTGTTCTGTTCAACTGGTCGTCGATGCTTGCAGTTCGCTGTAGTTCCTCTAGCTGGCGCTGCTGAACGGCCAACCTCGCTTCCATCTCCAGCTGACGTGCCTCCATGGCCATCTCAAAATTGTCAACCTGAGAACGAGAAACGTAAAAAGAAAAACATTACCAAACCGTGAAATCTGTGCCGAAAGTGTTGAAACACTTGCTTAATAGCTAGCAATCGTCATTCACGACATTTTAAAGGCATCCAGTGCAGTTTTTAGGGCTTGGAAACCAAAGTCAATATTCTAGTCACTTTTCTTGTCTGCATACTAAATTGAAACAATGCAACACTGTCCCAATGTATATTGACATTCAAAAATGACGAGAAACGGTTACTGGAAGGACCTGGTTTGATTATTAGGGTACCACCCTGAAATTAAAGGGCTTGTTTCTGCAGATTTAAATGCATAAAGTATTAAATACTGATTCAAATGTGCTATTTAAAATGTGGGATAGTACGTGTCAATATAATACAGATTGCCTTATTCAGAATTTTTCCAGTTTTGCCGCCCTGAACTTGCATGGGATGCCTTTAAACATTGTAAACAGTTCGTGTATTTCTTTGTCTTCTGAAAGACTCTCCGTAGTTTAAAGGTTACTTCAAGGTCTCAAAATAACGGTAATTGAACAAATATACTCCCGTACATTCTGCACTTCAAAGAGTTCTAAATGTTTGCCCGCGTGTTTCAATGGGACAAAGTCTCCACTCCCTCACACCACTTGAACGTTCAACAGTATTTGCCGAGATTCGATGAAGCTTGGATAGGAACGTGGCTAATGGTAGCAAGGCCGTAAGAATTATGGAGATAACGTTAATGTATAGAAGTATAGCTGTTTGCTTTGGCGAATTTCCAACTATATACTTACTGTTCCCACGACCCAAAATAAGCTGTGATAGTACAATTTAAACAGTTGTTATTGACAGCTCCTATGGTGGCATTTTATTAGTAACCGTTGATACGGTAATACGAGCGTTTTGCCCCTGTGCAAATGGCTAGAAGTCATTTTAGTTGTCACCATATCATAAGTGTCTTTTTGGTCTCCAAAGCGATCTCCAGTGTCAAGGATTCTTGCTACTTAAATCGTTATCGTTACAGAAACAACACGGGTACTTGACTATACATACACATATACATACAACTCAAAGCACACTATTGTTTGGTACTTTCCCAGCAGAGTTTTCAGGCGTTTTATCGGGTACGGACTGTAGGTACGGACTGTAGGTACGGACTGTAGGTACGGACTGTAGGTACGGACTGTAGGTACGGACTGTAGGTACGGATTGTAAAAAAAGTCCATGGGCGGCAAATGAACTCTACGGTGGCTAAATTCCCCTGGCCAATTCATTTTCCCTATTCAGTGGCTAAATTGTACTGTTTTGAACCCACGGTGTTAGCCTGGGGGAGACTATTTACAAATCATGATACCAAAAAGAAAGCCTATAAAAAAAACTAAAAAAAAAACTATAAAAAAGCGGAAAATGTGTGCCAAAATAGACCACAGAAAAGCGGGAAATCAGTGTGCCAAAATAGACCTAACATGTGCGTGGAGCCTGAGAACTAGTTCCTTGCGTACCTTTGCCATCAAGTCGTACATGCGGACGGATATGTCAGACAGCTGCGAGGCGACCACGTTCTTGAACTTGGCGAGGGCCTCGACGTCTACTGCCGAAGGACAGGAGGGGCAGGGACGGCCAAACTCGTCCTCAACCTGCGGATACAAGTGGCGAAAGAAGCGGCTTTAGTAAGACGGAAACCGGTGACATCATATCAATGTATACACAAGGAAATTGTTACTCAAGCAACTGGATATATTTTGAGAACTGTTTGAGACGTTTTAACTACTTTTCGTCAATTTTCTGACAGATTTCGTCAATTTTCTGACATGATATCAAAATCTATCCAGTTGGTTGAGTAATAATTTCCTTGTGTGTCTCGTACCCTAGATGTCTAACCTTCATCGACATATCAAGATATATCTAAAACCTTCCAGTAAACAGTAGATCGCACTACTAAAGTTATACGGTCCAAAGAAAGAGAAAAAAAAGGCTCTTTTATGACAAATTTAGCTTTTTCTATCTAAATCAATTAATGAAGTATTGCTCCTGACTTTTTCTATATTTCCCCATGGGGAATTATTTGTAAAAACATACCTACGTTATTCTAGCACGTGTTTTTAAAACCGAGCGAAAAAAACGCAAACAGACTAGCTTTTCAAAACATGGCCACCCAGCATTGATTCCCACACTGAAAGAAAACTATGCGGACACCATTTAGGTCATGACAGACCCTGAAAGCGATACAATGTACTAAAATCCGAGCCCCTGACAACAAGTCGGGCTGCTGACATATTTAACAAAGCGCCCTTCTTGAAGGACACAATATTTGTACATACGCACCTCAGTTACTTCAACACGTCAAGTGCAAATAGTAGTAAGAATTTTACCCTCCCTACACCAAACCACCTGTAGTATACATACATTCACATCAACTATAATTGAGCTGAAAAATCATTCATACCTCTACGTCTGGTCGCAACATGTCATTCCCGAACGCCACGCCTCTCTCGCCGTCAACAGTATAGGACATGGGCGGCTGTGTCTCGGTCTTTCCCCGCGCTCTGGGGATAAACATACAGCGAGCAGGGTCCAGCACCCCGGCGAGCACCAGCAAGAAAGCTAGAGCGGTAGCTTGTACGTCCATCGTGGCTCTTCAGTGACTGTGAAACGGCGTGGGACGATGGAAAAGGACGTGTAACTGTAGCAGTGTGGCGACTCGGAACGCTGGCGAATGCCTTCTGTGGTTCGGCAGTCTAGCTGACGCTGTATTTATACAGTATGCAGCTTCCTGAATTTACTGAATGGGGGTTCAAGTTCACGGTTGGGTGCCGGTACGGGAGACATAACAGCTGCGGGGATTAAAACCACAGCCACATTACACTAATCCATCTCAAATGTTTTGGCAAGAATTAAACTTCCTCTTTCCCTTACATGGAAAACAATTACGACATTCTTCCGAGATCTCGGCGGATACGACAGGTCTGATATAACGTTCTCGGTATTTTCCGGAATGGCGAGTATTGTCGAGAATGCCCAAATAAGGAAGGAGTGGTTACGGGGCGCGAAACACTGTATGGGAGTTGGGAGCAGCCAAAACGGTGATGAAAGACGAAGGCATTCGATTTTGAGACAAGTTGCTACGAGTTCAAAAGTTCAAAAGGGATGAGCTTCACACATTAGACCACACCAATTTAACTAGTTGGTTTTCGGATTCTTCCCTTCATTTTTTTATTAATATTTGAACAAAAAACGTCAGGTTCTGAATCAACTCCAAAATGCGCATATTTTGGCCCCAACAGTTGAAGAAAGTCCTTGCCTTCCTAGTTAATGCAATTTTTCCATCTATGAATGCAGCGGTTTGAAAGTTTTGAAATTCATTATTGTTATAATTATAAACCAGCCTGTTATATTGATTTCAGTGCTCCAATCGTAGCATTTGATGCTACATGCATAGGATGCCTAGGCCTGTTTGTTCGCCCTGTTGCCGCATACTAGTATCTTTTCTTACAAAATACAAGAACCAACGGATTAAATTGATATGGCCTTAAGGTAGTTTAGTTTCAAGCTGACACGACACTTTGTATTTCCTATAAACTCGGAAATTCTCTGAAGAACTGGAGTCTTTTCAAATATCGTAAAACGAATTCGTAGAAAAATCTCAAGGCGAAAATACGTTCAATAACATGTCTGCGTTTTTCAGACAGATTATTGGCATCAAACATTGCAACAAAGGAAGTGCTACAGACTTTCCGGGTGCGCGGTAGCGCTGAGATTAAGCCTGTGGGCACACAACAAAAGAACTATTTATAGGTTTAATCATGGTGACGTTTTTATTAAACAAACCGGAAACATTAGCAGACGATGACACAACACATTAAGAGCCCAACTAATACATCCATGGACCAGTTATTGAAAACATAACACTTGACTTTGTGGATTACGAGGGGGTGTTTCCGTTTGTTTAAAAGATCAGTATCTTAAACCTAAAACAAGCGGTACCGAATATAAAACGTGTACTGTTCAGCTTCTAACTTTGCTGTTGATGTTGTGTCAGGCCTTCCACGTCGACTTTTTTTAACTCACGGATTTTTCAGAAATGTTTTCTTTAGTTAAAAGATTAAAAGATCTAAAAAGGCGTCTGGAGTCTTGAAGCACGTGCACGTGTCTGTATCTTGACTGAGCTAAATGAAGAAAAGGTGATTGATTTTTTTACGCCACACCTGTAGCGACAAAAAGGAATCTCTCACCGCAAGTAACGTTACCTAGACTGTGACGTCAGCAGGTAAACGACACCCTACACTGTACCATGTACACTCTCCAAGCAGAGGTTTGGGTTTTGGCTTATTTTGGCGTTTTATCAGGGTTTCGTTTTTTGTACTGGAATTTTTTTGCGCTACCCCAACAAGTAAAAAAATCCAGTGTAAAGGAGAAACCCTAATAAAAAATCCTAAAAACACGCCAAAATAAGCCCAAACCTCTGCGTGGAGAGTACATGTACGTAGCTTTTCCGAACACCCACCCCTTCAAGTGAAACATACTAACCGTTGTTTTCCTGTAACAGGTAAACAACGTATAGGATGTTTAACCGTTGACGTAAATAACGGTTAGGGTGTTTCACTTGAAGGGGTGGGTGTTTGGATACGTTACGTACATGGCACACCCCCTCAACATCCCGTTCCCTTCTTTTACTATTTATCAAAGCTATCTATATCGATTACCTAGACTATGACGTCGGATACTATCGGTAAACAATAGTTTACTTGAAGGGGGGGGGGTAGGACTACGTATTTGGCACACCCCTCAGTGTCAGTCTCCACCAGACTTCTTTTGCAGGCTGAATAAATCGTAGAAAACGGCCTAAAAAGGTTATTAATTGGCGAGAGAAGGTAGCTGGCCATCGACAATCAAATTGGCCTGCAAGAATTTGATCGTCGATGGCCGGCTACCTTCTCTCGCCAATTTCTACGATTTTTTCAGCCTGCAAAAGAAGTCTGGTGGAGACCACCTTTTACTATCTATTGTAGCTACTTGTATCGCGGAATAGGGAGGTATCCTAATGGTTTAATGTCAACTTAAAATTACACAATTACACTTGTCACACATTCAGAACCTTCCCCCAACCACCAACCAACTGAGGGGGTAGGTTGGGAACAGTCTGACCAGATTTAGGCCACGGCTACCTTTGTACACGAATAAAGTTAAATTTGAGTCAAATTTGACTGCCAACCACACCCCGACAACTGCTGACTTACTCCCGACCACCAGCCAACTGGTCCCCAACCGTGGCCCAACCCACACCCACTCAAAATGCTTTGAATATTGTTTTTTTTATGTAAAGTCGCCATACAACAGCCAACCATTGCCGACATTGCTCCCGACGTGCTCCCAACCATGGTTGGGAGGAGAGAAGTTTCGCAGTGTTCGGGAGCCTATATTTGGCTTTGTATGACAGAGGCTTTAATAGCAGAGCTATCCTATAGCGTGTGCCAGTGGACTTATCGTAGTATTTGTTTAAAAAGTTGAGCTACGTCAAAACTACTTGCATGTGAGCAAGAGGAAATTGGGCGTGTGCCACATAACTTTTGATGCCTACCTACACAGTCACACATTTTATTTTTAGCCATTAAAAAAAAGTTAAGTCAAGCAGAGCAAGGATATAACCTCCTTGAGGAGAGTGAACATGTTCCGGTGAGAATACCATGAAGAGGCGGGGGTCGCGGGAGGCTGCCGGTACGCGGTGCTGATTTCAGCCGCCCACTGTTCTGTGTCCTTCGCCCGTCTGCACGTGGGCGAGGTCTTCCTGTGGGCTACCTTGGCGTGCTGAACGACAAAGTACAAAGTCCGAAAATAGCTTCATGACGTTGGTAGAGTATAGGATGTACATGTAGGAGTTCTCTTTTACACAACGAAACTTGAAACTTGTGTCACCTAGCTTACGTTTCGGTGGAAGGTGTCTGATATATTTAGACACCGAAACGTAAGCTAGGTCTATATCAGACCTTCCTACGGGGTACAGATCGTAGAATTCGGCAAAAAAGGGAAGAACAACTGGCCAGTCCGCGCGAATGAACATGTTTAGTCATTAGGACGTTAATTTTTATTCTGTACCCCTTTCTTTGTTTTGTACCATGTTCAATAGCCACTGTCATACATTGTACCATGTACAATTGTCGTGCAATTAAAGGTCTTAATATTCGACTAAATTTTACTGTTTTCGAGCCCTCGGTGTAGCCTAGCCTCTACCAGGCTTCAGAAGCAGCTGAAAGGAGTAGAAACTGGCCAAATAGACAGAGAAAATGCCGGGAGAGTTGGTCTGCAACAGAGTACATACGTACGTACAGTTTGCCGCTCCCCTGGCATGTTATCTGTCTATTTGGCCAATTTCTACTCTTTTCTTCCAGCCGCTTCCCGAAGTCTGGTGGAGACTAACCCCAACGCCAGGTGGCGCTCGTTACAAGTCTGTGGTTTTCTGCAGACAGAGGTCAGCTGGGGACGGAAGTGAGAAGTAAAATGTATGATAGAAAGGATGTGAGTCACGAGAAGAAAATACTTCGGTGCCACCGATGACGTCTGCGGTTTGGTTTATTCCTGGCGTGCGCGGGTTTATAGTACTGTCACGCGACTGAGTCAGGTAAGGGATAGGCAAGCTTACATGTAAGATTTCTATTTTTACCCGTTCGAACTTTGCATGCACGTGTTTAAGACCGATCTCATCGCTATTGATTTTTAAGCTGTTCACATATAGTGAAAATTGCAATAAAAAAGTCAGCCACTACCAGGCTTCAGAAGCGGCTGGAAAGAGTAGAAATTGGCAATGCTGACAGATAGTATGTCAGGGCAGTTGGACTGCTAAGGAGTATTACTATACAGAAGCGGACTAACCCCCTGGCATGTTACCTATCTACTTGGCCAGTTTCTCCGCTTTACAAGCCTGGTAGATTTGATCCAGCTAGCTAGGTCCTGACCATGAACCGAATGCAGTACCGTCTAGAACAATGTAAGGTGAGAACAAGGCCATGGTATATTACTAGTATTTGACCTGAGGTGTCTGGCAATCTAGCCGCTATAGAATAAACCTTGGAGTATATACTACAGTATATGCAATATTTTGAACGAATAATGTTGTGTTCGTTCACCTTGCCGGGAAAAGTCATGAAAAGGGCTAGTACTTGGGCATACTAGTATCATTGAAGCTGCCTGTATTGTGCCTGTCTTGATAGTCATTTCCGCAAGGCAGCGCTGTTTTAGGGGCCTTGACTCGGTGGCACTGTTCATTGGCTATCAATACCAAAATCGTTACATATTCAAATTTATGTACTTAGTAACTCGCCCCATACGCGAGTGTCGGACAGATGATACATAGAAATTGTTTGTCAATATTGAGTATGAAATATGGTATGATATAAGCATGCATCCTTTCCATTCGATATCAAGAAATCCTGTAAGTAAAAAAAAGTAGAAAGCGACTCATACTTGCGCTAAATCTTCCCTTTATGAAAATTACCAAATAACTAATGACAGTTCATACCAAAGGTGCAATTAGTTATTAAGCAGGAAGCACAGAAACCGACTAAGCACAGATAACAAAGTATCAAATTACTCACTGTAGAATATCTATCTATAAAGGACATGTCCTATCTCTGAACAAAATTAGGGGTTCGCCACTGACCAATCAGGTCGTTTTCGCTCCTGTCAATCAAACCCATCACCATGGTAACAAGCATCGCTGATGTTTTTAATCCCGACTAGATTTGAGTGAAGCTGTTTTTAGCAGTCATCGTCTACAATGTGATGAAAATTTCTTTACAAGTTCGTTGCAACTAGCCTCTACCAGGCTTCAGAAGCGGCTTTTAAGAGAATTCGAAGAAATTGGCCAAATGAACAGATAGCATCCAATAGTAGTACACTGATGCTCTGGTATGTTATCTGTCTGTACCCGGCCAATTTCTACTCTTTCCAGCCGCTTCTGAAGCCTGGTATAGGCTAGCCTGGATACCAGACCCATAGCACACTAGGCCCGAAGATATTACACTAGATAACTTTGAGCCTAGTGCGCTGTAGGTCTGGTACCCAGGCAAGGTATATATAGGCTATGGTTCAACTATTACTTCTCAGATTTGAAAATAATTGAATTTGACACCGTCTTGCTTATCAATCGACAACACTTTGTATGAAAATTAGGAGCATCGGTATTTTTACGTGTGACTGCCGCTATCAGTTGTAGCGGTACTCAACAGGTATTTCTGAGGCATGATCTTTGACCCCGACACCGTTCGTTGCCATGGTGATGAGGTCATCATCTGAACTCGACCCGACCTGTCAATCACAAACGCCTCTAACCATTACCTAACATGCTGGCCAGGGTTAGACATCTGTCCCGGATTTAAACACATTATCTTCTACTAGTGACAAGGTGGCTTTACATGTAACTAACTTTTAAAAGGTACATTTGACTCAAGTTTTCAATTTTACAAAGATCAATATTTGACAGTTCTAACAAATACAAATACCTGTGAAATTAGTGGCATTTTATATTCTAGACTACAAGGAAATTGCAGAGTGCTTTCTCTTACAAACAACGAGCCACTATTACAGAAGTTAAACTCATCCAGTGAAATTTCAGACAGGCAAAACTGGATTTTCAAAGTCAACCCTATCCATACTGATATTATACTGAGACCTGTGAGGCAAAAATGCGATGTCACTGACGGAAAACGGTTGCTTGTTTTGTATCGTAGACTGGTTCTAGCTAGTATTTCTGGGTGGTACTCAAAAATAAGGAGACACCTTGCGTAGCTTGTTTTGAGGCTATTTCAAACGCTTCAAGTATCGAATGTCCTAAGAAATTGCAGTTGATGTCCGACAAGACTACCTCATCCAGAATATATATATTTTTGACGCCCTGAAATTGCATTGGATGCCTTTAATGTAACACAGACACAGCTTATCTAAAGCTGGGGCCTCTTGTTCGGGGCATGACTCGAGTAAGGTGATTTGGATTAAAATCTTGTATTTCCAGTTTGGTACAACGTACAAAAATGACTATACGTATGATAGGACTATAACATCACAGGCCGGGCTATTACAATGACCCAACGCTACTACAGATACCCCCTTCAATACACCATCTATAACCCATAAAGTAAAAAATACATAGCAACCTTCTTCTACTTCTATCTCCAAGCAGTTGATAGCTCCGGATTGTTTTGCAGAGTTTTGCCGCTTTTTGCGTCTCCCTCCCTGATTGGTTGATTGATTGAAGGAATGACGTATTTAATATGGTGTCCGAGCGGGGGATCCCGGGAGTCAAATCGTCTGAGAGACGTCGCAGAACTAGTAGCCGGAGCTGACATAAATGTCTGCTTGGAGACTACTACACAACTGCAGAACCACAATACCAGGGCGCTGTCTTACTACAGGCCTACATAGCCTCTACCAGGCTTCGGAAGCGACTGGAAAGAGTAGAAACTTTGCCGCTCAGGACCAACTCCATTGGTATGTTTGTTATCTGTCTATATGGCCAATTTCTACTCTTTCCAACCGCTTCCGAACCCTGGGAGAGGCTTAATTAAATGCCTGGTTACTTCCCTATACTTCCACTATCAAATTTCATAGTGTTTGGACTCATACACATATACTAACGTCGTTAATTCTCCGATTTACATATTTCTTCATCGTTTACACTCCGGCATAGGCTACATGTGTAGGTCAAATTGACAATTACGTTAATGTGCACAGCTAGAGCTTTACTATTTGCAGAATTAGAAACATCTCATCGATACTTAGGTATAGTTCAAACGTAATAAAAAAAGAATCAAACAAAAAAACCGACCGGCAAAATAGCTTACGTGTACATGTACTGGCCATCCCTCCCTCCCTCAAAAAGGTTACGAATTAGGTTTAAACTGTAATTTCCAACACAAGAAATTGGACTTACACATTGCAACCATCCCTCAACAAAGACGGGGAGCGCCACAGACTTGCTGCAACCTATGACCCGCTGCTCACCGATCGCGAGTCACGTGTGTCATCTGCATAACGTGATGTCACGGAATTGTTGAATCGAATTGGTCACTCCTTGCAGTCGTAAATTTGGGTAAGTCCAATTTCTTGTGTTGGAAATCAAAGTTGAAACCTGTTTCAAACTTCTACTAGCACACATAATGCGTGGTACTAAGTTCAGAAGTAAGTATAGAAAAATGTATATTGTAAGGTCCCTCTCCCTCCCTTTCCTTTCCCCCGTCTTCTACCCACTACATCGGCACCATGAGTCGGACTAACACCCGTCTGTACAGTACGGTGCCGTGTCCCTAATCTCCAAGCAAATTCGGTGGGCAAGGGGACTTTATGTTGGCCGCCTGTGTCCATTGGTCACCTGTACCCATCGTCCGCCCCACATACAGATGACCAATGCCATGGATACAGGCGGCCAACATAAAGTCCCCTTGCCCCACCGAATTTGCTTGGAGATTACCGTGTCCCCTTCACGTTAGTTCCTGCGGGGGGACCGCACGACTCTCTGGGCGGAGGGCCCCTCCACGCGCACCGCCTCCCGTTTCCTCTTCCTGAGCTTCTCCAGGTCCTTCCAGTGTGTGCCGTCGGAGTGGCCCAGCACGCAGCACGCCAGCCGCTTCCCCACGTTACCGGTCTTCTTGGTCTCGGGGCTGGATCCTCTTCCTAAATCGTCCTCGTTGGCATGGATCTATTGAGGTTTTATAACAACATCAACTGTAAATTAAAAATTAACATGCGCGCCTGTGGGCACCACCAACATCTTATCAACTACGGTGAAACAAGAAATTCGTCATGTTTTAAAACCGAGCATATATACATGTAGCTAGTATGAACATGTCAGGAATATCTGGAGCTACATAGTGCCCCATTTAGAACACGACCGGTTTCAGCCTGTGGGCTTATTCAAGTGTAAAAATTCAAATAAATAACGATAATAATAATAACAATAATAATGATAAACGTCATTGTCCCATTACTCACCACAATAGTGCGACCAATGATGGAGTAGGGTCCGACCAGTGACGCCACTTCGTCCTTGATGATGGCGTTCACCTCGCCAGTGGAGTCGGCCTCCACGTTACCCCAGTCACCCAGGTGCCTGCAGAAAATAACCCAGCTCACACATGGTTACATTACGTACGATGGGACAAAAACAATATTCGGTTCTACTTCCGGTGATCTTGAAATTTTTTGTAAAACAGAAACGCTAGATTTCCTTTGAAAGAAACAGTTGGAAGACCGCGTTTGCTTATGGGTAAAAACATAGCCTTCCACCGGGCCTTCCAAGGTGGTTAGGATGGTAGAATGTAGGTTAACGGGACGGGACGGGACGTTAGGTTAAGGGACGGGGCGGGACGTTAATGGACGGGGCGGGACGTTAAGGGACGGGACGGGAGGTTAAAGGACGGTACGGGAGGTTAGGGACGGTTAGGGACGTTGAGGGACGGGACAGGAGGTTAGGAACGGGACGGGGGTTAAGGTAAGGGTGGGGCACGTGAGAAACTGGGAAGACCTCAATGAAGAGACTATGGTTACTGGGGCGTTTTAGCCAGGGTACCTAATCTCCAAGCAGATCGTTTGGTGACTGCAAAGACTGGCCAGCTGTATCCATGTGCCAGACAGTTACCATTTCGCCATCCACTTGCAGCCACCAAAAGTTCTGCTTGGAGATTACATCGTACCATCCTCCATAGTTTTGATACCGAGTGGCTCTCCCTTTTAATTCGCCTGAGTGGGTACCGGTGTAGGATGGTTCCCAGGTAAGCTACTGATTTGGGTTGAGGTAGGTGTTCCAGCACACACATAATTCCTCATTGCTTTTATTAAGACTTATCATAAACAGTATCAGAAGACCAATCTCAATAGAATGAAAAACATTTTGCAGACACATGGTAGGGACACCGCAAGGCTTGCAAAGTACTTGCACGAACATTTTCAACTCCTTTGACAAGGTCTGTCGTTGTTTGATCATTGTCAGCAGAAAAAGCCACAAAAATCCACAAAAAAGCGATGATGGGATCGTTTTATGGAGATCAATGTGTAAAGATGTCGATGAGAGGTCGCTTTTTTTGCGCTGCCGAAGGCAGTCCTTGTCCATGAGTCTGTTGTTTCCTGACTGTTATCAAAATTCAAGGCAAACGTCAAACGTTAGGCAGTTTTATTATGATTACCACACACATACATACAGGGAAACGTTACCAGCTCTCTGGGAGTTAAGCTGGAGGCGTGCAAGCGGCAGAAGGGGACGGGGAGGGCTCATGGTGTTTTCCAACGTACCTAATCTCGTCCTTGGGTCCACCATGATTGAGGTTGAATGGGTTATAGTGGTCCAGGGTGGACGTGCAGCCCTTACTCTGGTCGCCTAGCTCGTGGACCGTCACGCCATAAGAGCGCAGATTCCTTGCAAAGCCCTTTAGCCGTAAGAACACTTCCACCTTACCTCCCGTTAGCTGGAACAAGGGGGTGAGTGTAGAAGACGGTTAGCTAGACCAGGGGGGTCGGACACGTACCTAATCTGGTCCTTGGGGCCGCCGTGAGTGTAGTTAAAGGGATTGTAATGGTCGCCCGCAGACAGGCAGCCGCGGCTCAGGTCCCCGTACTGCAGAACCGTGATGCCGTAAGACCGGCTCTTGGAATCGAAGCCCAGCACCTGCATGCGCACTTCAATCTTACCGCCGCTAAGCTGTGAAGAACGGAGGTGCGAGACCAGGTTTGCATTGTTATGTGGAGCGACGAGCAATAAAGGGGTTCCAGGAGGCTCTGAAAGGGTTTTAGCTCGACACCGATATATCTTTAACTTCAACCCAGGAAAAAGAAGACCTCTGAAATGACTCTTTAAGACCATTAAAAGTCTCAAAAAGGTTAGGCAATGGAAAAAGGTGCATTCTCGCTGCTGAGCCGAGCTGATTTTCATGCTTATGTTGGACAGTAAAGCAGTTGAAAGTTACTTTGTAGTTGTAGTAGAGTCAATTGCAGTTACTGTAAATTCGATTGCGCCATTCTCATTCCATCTCAGAGCTAGCAAGTTAGAGAGTTACGAGAGGTTGCTCCATGAAAAAGGTGAATATTATCGTATAGTACAGTTTTTATGAATACACATACACTGGTTACTTTATTCTCAGGTTGCCCACTGGGAAACTCAAGCCAAAAGCTAGGTTGCCCATCATAATTCAGGTTGCCGTCAGCACTGGCTGTTTATTTTAGAAGGCAAGCTGTAAAAATAAGCGAGGCCACTTGTTAAGGTATAATCGTTTACATTCTGGCACATAGTATATTTCAGAAACCGTAAGCTGGGTCGCTGTAAACTTTTAAAAGGTCTCTTTGTATGAGCAAAAAAATATGACGGGCAACCTAGCGTCTCCAATATGTCTCGCAAATAGGACTTGTGCGAGATTGGGTATTTCGAACTTTGCTGATTGCACATTAAGGTGGGATCGTCTGAATCTGGCCAAAATATTTTCTTTCCTTCTTAGTGATCACAATATCTTCACTGTGATTGCATGACCATTACTCTTTGGTAATCGACGAAAGTTAAACTACAGGATTGTTTAAGCCTTGCAAATAACTATATCCTGCACTATGGGCAGTGGGCGGCGGGCTTGTGGTCGTGTAAAGGACTGGTGCCATGCACGGGCTACCTTCGGGCCTGAAGACGATCCCCGCCGCCCAGTTCAACCAGGCTCCCCGGTAGGAGTTTTACGTCCGTTGAAGTTTTGCACGGCAGGAGTTTTATAATACATGTCGTACGTAGGTCGATTTTGTTGTACCCAAGTGTCTGTCTTGATGTCTAGTTAAAGACCTTAGGAAAGTTTCTGTACTTTTGTTGTGTCAATAAAGTTCGATAATTCAACCCCTGTCGTGCAAAATCTATATCGGGGAGCCAAGTTGCACTGGGTGGCTGGCATGGCTGGGTGGCTGGGATCTAAGCTAAAGAGATCCCGCCCAAACCAGGATAAACTGGACACCAGGCTAGATATTAGGGAGAGGCGTTCTGTACCTTTTGCCTAACGTCAACATAACCAGCGATAGGCGTTTGCTGGTCCAGCGGGATGGCCGTGTTGGGCAGCATGTCACAGTGCCCGTACCTGTACCCGGTCTCTCCTGCAGACGACAAGAGAAAAGAGCTAGATAACGTTAGCACGGTTTGGAAGAGATTGACTAAATCTGCGCTCCTAGCGGCCGGCCCGGTATTACACCAGCCGCCCGTAATACCGGGCCGGCCGCTAGGAGCGCAGATTTAGTCAGGCTAGGTTTGGAAGAGATTGGTCCTGACAGGAGAAGAAGTTGGGTCATATTGTAGCACGTCGGCAGAACGTACTGCTACTGCGAGAAACCCGTAATTTCTTTACCGTTACGGCGCAGTACATTCTGCCGTGGCACCGAGTTACCCATCATCCCTTGCGCCCGAGAAATGACACCTGTTGGAGTTTCAAGGGCTAGTCTGTTACATGGTTTCTGATTGGTCTGACGAAGTATGTGGGGGGGGGGGTCGAGAATGCATCAACAGTAAAGAAATATTTAGCTTTGCCACTAACCTACTTGAACAAGAATGTGTTAGAAGAATACAGAATACAGACGAAGTCTTACCTAGACATTCGTAGCAACACTCCCCGTACGGCAGGACTTGTTCGTTCAGGGAGCAGGACAGCTTGTCCCGGGGAACACACTTCACTCCCGCGCAGCAAGACGCTGACCCCGCCGCACCGGTGCCGAACTGACGGGGAAACATCCGAAAATAGTTGCATGAGGTTGGTAAAGTATAGGATAAAGGAGTTCTCATTTACACAACTAATTATCTCGCCGCAAAAGCGGCACCTACATCGGCTATATATATATAGCGGCGAGAATCAGAACTCCGGTCAGAAGCTCTGAGGAAGGTGTCTGATAGACATGCGTGTGTAAATGAGAACTCCTATGTCCTGACGGTGAAACAGTTCATTTATTTATAATTACCTTCGCCAAGGTTATGTTTTCAGAGGCGTCCGTGTGTGTTCGTGTCAGTGTGTGTGTGTGTGTCAGTGTGTGTGTGTGTGTGTGTGTGTGTGTGTGTGAATACGACTACACGATATTGATTATGTAAATGAAGACTTAATTTGCATAATTAATCTTGGGGTATTTGGGTATTTAAAAGGTAAGTGAAGATTAACATCATGAAAAATAACAAGATAAACACGCATGCAAACTGGACCCTCTACGGACGGCCTCCCCCTGGCCAACTACATTTTTAGGCCGATTTCTACTACTTATTCAGCCTGCAAAGGAGTCTGTTGGAGACTATTCAATGAGGGGGCCTGTGGTAAAATTTCCTTAGGGACACATTGGCCACGGAGCCAACCTGCAGTGGACTGGCCCTGGCAGACGTCTGGCACCGAGGCTATGTGTGAACAAACATGTCTAAAACTGTCTGGCGGATACTCAAAATTTATATCTCATGGGTACCCTACGGTATACCCCTAAGCCACCACCTTTGGTTTGAAACCCTCCAGAACTCAAAACAGACACGACATCGCTGACTCGTAATGAAGTCAGCATGTTTCTGGATACAGATCCGTGGCGATGTGACCTCTTGCGTTATATCACGTCCCTGTTCTTAGCCTGGTATCCAGGCTATCGTGGTTGGGGCAGGCTGTCTTCGGGGCTCTAATAGTTTTCCCCCGACCAGCTCAACAGACGGCCCGGTAGGGGTGTTACGCCTGTGATAGAGTTCGGCACGCCGGGAGTTGATTAGCTCCACAATCTCCCCTCGTGAAAAACCTACCGGGGAACCTAGCTGAGGCGGGCGGGGGAGAGCTTCTACAGCCCCGAAGACAGCCTGCCCCAACCACGATAGATTGGATACCAGGCTACCTTATTCTGTGTTTCCCTCCTGGAACAGAGATGTGTCTCGCCGCTATTTGTTTTTTAAGATTTACCATATTTGTTGAATGATTGCGAATTCGATATAACAGGTGACTATCACCTTTTGACCATGAGACTGTCAGGTTTGAACCACTCACACCGGGAAGGACCCCTAGCGTTACTTTCAGCGATTAAATCAAAGGATGTGGATTTTTGTGGACCTCTGATCTCACTATTGACATTGTACAGCCACCCCCAGCCCCACTACCCTTAGCCTGGGTGCCAGACTGCTTCAGGGCCTAAACAGGCCAGCTTCTGGGATCCAGGGCCAACATGCCCCCTCAGTTAGACCCTGAGCTAACTAACTCTGTGTCTAGCGTGCCATGGGTCTGGCATCCAGGCTACACTACACTTGACTTGGAGAAGCCAAAAGCCAGACGAAAAGGTTTTGAGGGTCAGACGACATAAAACTTGGCACTTCGCTATGTTGTGAAGTGAACCCGTACTAACCTTGTGACCAACTAACCACTCAGACAAGACCCAGAACGACTTTTGTCCTTGATCTTAAATTCTCGACCATCCAGCCAAACAAATGTGTTTCTTGGACCGTCCATTGGTAGAGTCAGAGCAAAGCGATTTCAGATCAGTAAAACTGGATTTTCAATGTGAATTTTCTGATAATTTTTGATAAAGAGGAATGCCGACTATTTGAATCAACCCTATCAGATAGCATACTTATATCTGTGAGGCAAAAATGCGATGTCGCGGACGGAAAACGGTTGCTTGTTTCGTATAGTAGCCTGGTTCTAGTTAGACACCTCATGAAAATGAGCACCATTTTATAATGGACTGTACACTATACAATGATACGAGCGCTTATTGCTGTTCACCTTTCTTTCCGCTTGTTCAATTGATTTCATTACGTTAGATCTTATAGATAAATGCAACTACATACTCAAGGGAGATAACTAATACAGTGTTCGAATAGGAAAATGCATTAAAGAATGTTTCGATCTTAGAGAACACATGTTAGAGAATAGTTAACCTTTATTGTTACATCATACATATACTCTGTACGTAAGATGACGTTATCCACACATGTATTTAGCTTTGTTAAATCTTTAGTTAAGTTGTAGAAGACCATACAAAAGTCTCAGTACTTTTTTGTTGTGTTGTAGGGTATGAAAGGACAATAAAGAATCTCATGTAACTTGTTTGGGGCTATTTCAAACACAATTAAGTAAGGAGTGATGATGAAAATGTGTAAAGAAATTGTAGGAAATGTTCATGCATATCAGACAAATTTCCTCATCCAGAATATCCTGAAATTGCACTGAGAAAGGAAATGTTACGGTCGCTAACATATTGCCAAAACCCTCAGTGATAAGGAATAGTTGGAATAGTTTAACTTCACACTGCAAGACGTGTTTTGCCAAACAGAGCTTTACCAGAGATTCATTTAATGAACAGTTGAGATTCTGCCAACAGGAAAGGATATCGTCCGGGTAACATGTGTGTGCAGATGTTTCTGACATCTGCGATATGGCTCAACAGTTAAGCTACGGTCACAACCCGCCGTACGTGCTTTTTCTCCGTACGTTTTTTGGGAGGCTACGTCTGCTACGTTTTTTCTGAAAACGTGGGGAAGGAGTGGTATCGACGCACGTCACTCTCACGTCACTCGCACGGTTGCGCAAAGTGTAAGAATGTGGTCTGTACGCCAAGTCTGGCCGTGAGCGGTTGCGTGCATCGTACGTTGCGCAAGTGGTAAGTGAGTTGTACGTGCTTACAAGGTACGATCTCTGTGCGATTGCAACTTTACTGTAAGGAGGCCGTACTCACACGTGCTTCTTCCGTACGGCACGTACGGGGCACGCGCGTCGCTCGTACTCGCACGCACGGGTGGTGAATTCGCAGACCGCACGTAGAAAAAGTTTTACATGCACTTAAAGTTCTACGGCGTGTCTGCGTGCTCCCAAATCCGTAGGATTCCGTACGGAGGCAGTACTCACCACGCACGGATGCCCTACGTTTGCCCACGTTTTTTGCACGTAGACAGCACGCAGAAGCACGTACGGCGTGTTGTGACCGTAGCATTATGGTACATTGTTTCATCGTGTAAGCCATGTTCCATATATGTTGTATCACCTTTACGAAATCGTAAAATGTTAGTCTCGATACATAGAACTCATTATAAGCATTTCTATAGACGTTAGAGTAGATATCAGCTAGATGTGTAGTACCTCTGACTAGCTTGCCATACATTGTACCTGTTATTGTTGTGCAATAAAATTGACTTGACTTGAATAGTAAACTAGAAAGGTAACATTTGCAAGGCAAATGCATAATGTTTACCTTCGCGCATATGATCTGCTCTGTTAATTCTAACTCAAACACATTCATGTATATTGTCAGAGAGGAGTCTATGTCCCTCCTGCTATAAAATTGCAACATGATGTAACCCAACGCTAGTTACCATGGTAACAGACTGTCTGGTTCAGGTCATTGGCTAGCCTCTACCGTGGGTCGCAAATTGGAGCTTCTATGGCCCTGGATCTTCTCTGGTATACTATCCCTTTATTTC